GGATAGATAAATATTTGAGGAAATAATACAATTTCTGCATACAATTTCCAAGCTTGCTTCACGTAATTAAAATAACGATGATAGGATACTTTGTCAAGTTGGGTACAGCGTAACTAGCGACAACACATCAACGACAACCGCAAATCCTTACTAGTACTATCGTATTAACCAAGTGGTCATGCTCAAATAGGTAAAGCGTTAATGAATATGAATACTGATCTCCCCCCTTAAACGAAACGGGGTAAACTTGATAATTTTTGAAACTTTATATTATCCAACCATATCGGAAGGTGATGACTTTTTCAAAATTCGAACACTTGAATCGTTTGGCATTGAAATGGATGACATCATTTCCACTGTGAGAAACTGCTGGAGACGCACTGGCATACTCAGCTCTGACTTGGAGACGCCCAGCGCTTGAATGCATGTATAAATGGTTGGTTCAGACAGCCTGCAAATACCTGTAAGAGTTAATTTACTGTGTGAATTGCATAATTTGCTCCGTTTCGTTTAAGGGTGGAGATCAGTACTACGTAGTACAAGCACTACTTTATCCGTTGGTAGGATATCCCACGACGATGAGGAATATTATATGACGCAGGAATATTTTGCATTGTCGGCTGCGAACTACAGAGAACCGAGGATGAACTCGCCCACAGTTGTACTTCAGAAATATAATTCAACTTGAGGTTGAATTGCGATTCAACATTAAGCCAATCACAGCTCTACCGCTCGACAGACCTTATTGGAGTAAATCTTGCAATCAAACACCTTTCATTGGGCTATTCAAAATAATCTGATGCACGAGTTTCAAAATCTGACCATGTCAAAGGGCACACAGTCTCGACGACGTGCGCCACCTCGACGCAAGCCGCTGTTGAAACCATACCGTCGCTCAACTCTACTTGCAAAGCGAAAGCAACAGAGTTACACTATTGGGGCAATAAAGGCTCTCTTGCAGAAGCACTCCACGCTCGGGCCATGTAGCAGCGACCGCGAGTTCGCGCGAAAAGAGAACGTTCCCATCGCCACCCTACGAGGATGGCTGGCTCGAAAGGAGGAGTTCCTCCAGTCCAAGAAGCATACCAGCAACGCCACTCTCAGTGGCCATGGCCACAGCGAGGCGGTGGACTTCAGCGACGCACTGGCCAGCTTCATGGACAGCGTCCGCGATCACGAGAAGTTCTTGACGACAGCGCACCTTGTGATATGGCTGAAGAACCATCAACCTGCCTGGCTTGACTGGTACCTGGAAGGCAAGGTGGATCCGTCACGAGCGTACAAGGCCCTCCTGGGATGGTGCCAAGCCTTTGCGCACCGCCACGGGCAGCGCGTACCCTGTGCGTCCAAACGGAGCCAGGGGGACTTGCAGGCCACGCGCGTTGAGTACGCACAATCGTTCTGGTCCAAGTACAGTGCCTACGACCGCGGGAACATCATCAGCTTCGACGAAACTGGAGTACATTATGACATGCCGCCACGTCGTACATGGGCACAAATCGGGAAGTCGGCCAAAGTTGATCGCCAGCAGAAGCACTCTGACCGGGTGACCGCCGTCCTTGCCATACGCGCAGATGGTGAGATTGTGTTCGTGATCGATACTTACGTGTCGTCTAGGACGCAAGTTGCCTCCCTGCATCATCGTGCGTGGTCAGGCTGGCGGTCCTGTGGAGCAGGACGAGTTGCCGAGTATCCACGTGACGCAATCTACGCTGTCCAAGAGAATGCGTGGATGGATGAGCGAATGTGGGATATCTACCTGCGCGAGCTCGTCCAGTACGAGATCGAGGCACCGTCTGTGGTGGTGGTCGACAACCTGTCGGCGCATGTCACACCTGCGGCGTGCGAGTTAGTCCGTGGCGACTTATACAGTGTACTGGAAGAGCTGCCAGCGAACGCAACTAGTACCGTTCAACCGCTTGATGTTGGTGTGATGGGGCCCTTTAAGGCCAAGTGCCGCACCGAGTGGCTGCACGAGGTAAAGGTTACAACAGCTGCAGAGAAACGGTTGGCGATGGTGAAAATAAGTATGGGAGTCTATTCCACCAGCGATGGCTATTCGCTCGTTGGATAAGGCTATTCCTTGCGATGAGTCGTAATATACCTCTTTGGTTGTGTGTTCGTCGTTGGAGGTTTCCCGGGTATAAACCCCCTTCTGAATCCATTGCGCATGTCCATGAGTCCAAATTCGTTGATTTTCGATTTGGTGCGACATTTCCGAGTGTCACGTTACAACACCTTGTGATTGGCTTAAATCCTCGGACCTTCCCTGTTTTGCAACAATATAAATTTTGTCCAACTGTGTGGACCTCTCATACAATAGCCAAGATAAAAGTCAAGTACAACTGTGGGCGAGTTCATCCTCGGTTCTCTGTACATGTAGCTCCAGTGCCAAAGAGTACACGTCAGCCATTAAGCGGCAACGAATTCAAGATCACTCGAGCGTTCATGACTATCGAGTGATCTTGAATGCATCCCGCTTCATTCGTGTGTTCACTATTGTCATGGTCGGTGTGTGTCATCGCCCTTTCCAAAGCCAACAGCAGTACAGAAATGCGCATTCATGATAGCAGCCCAGCCATCGCCCAGCAAGATTGCTTTCGGTCAGTTCAGGGCAATGACAGGCTCGTGTCCATCGTTCTGAACCAGGCGCACAGCAAACTCGCTGGATGCTGACCAGTTGGCGGCGGGCCAGCAATTCGATGTTGACTTTGGAAACGGTGATGTAAGCTTGCTACTGAGTCTTTCGCTGCGGAACACATTACTGGTATAACGACATGAGTTCTGTAGTCATTACCGACACCAACAACGCTAACTACACCGCGCTTTGGACCAGTTTACTGCGCAACGCGGCGCCAACCGCTGCCTTTGCACAGCTTTGCCTTGTCAATCGCCAAAATATGGTCGTCGGAAATTATCAACTTGGGTTTTGTTTTGAATTTTGAAAAAAATGGCCGTCACGGACGAGTTTGGCACATATAATTCACCAATTAATTCGACGAGAATGCTCAAATTATGCTCTTTCATCTCCACTAATTTGCAGGCCAATCGGAGGTGAGGAAGTTCAGTTTTCATCTCAGTCGCAATCATCCTTGGACAGATGTAGTATTACAGTACCATCGATATTTTAGGCTGAGGGTTTTTTGTTAACCCTGGATTACCAAAAAAGGAGAAAAGAACGATAAGAGCTTTTTCGAAAACCTGTACGAGTACTAATACTTCGAAGTAAAATACTTCGAGTAGTACAGTATATTAGTAGAAATACGTAGGAAATATATAGGCGAAATGAACTAAAAGTAGGAACATTTTCCCTATGAAATCAGTTTTGCGAGTTACAATTTTGCTTTCAGGGATAAGGTTATATTTTGGATTTCCGTTTGGTGTGGAATAACACGAAATCGTAGGAGCAGCGCTCCTACGATGTCACGAACCAATCAGAATCACTGAAAATGGAATTTAAGTGACCAACAAGACTTTTGAAAGCAGGGAGTACAGAGGTGATCGGCATCACAGCGAAGCAGCGATGGCGGCCTGTGAATGCTACGTAGGTGAAGAGTATCGCAGCGGGTGGTAGCGGACAGTGGAGTGAAGCGATGGTGGAGATGTTGTGGTGTGGTGGCTGCGGCGGTGGGCATCGAAGTGCGCAGTATGGTGGTGGCGGTGGACGTTGGAGTGCAACTGCTTGTGCAGAAGTTCACCGCTGAGGTCCACCGCCCATAACCACACCCACTTCCATACAACGTTCCATTACTCCATCGTCTTTGCCCACTCCCACCTTTCACAAACCATCTAAATTTTACACGTAATTAGAGCATCTCCACCATCGCTGCTGCAATACTCCACCGTCACATCGCCGCCACCAGAGGCACGACGACTTTTAAGGCAATTATGTCGATAGTTGCGGCGACGTATGCTTAGTTGTGGCTGAATGCTAGTACAGCATGACCAGCACTTGTCGATGATGCACTTGCCGAGATGGCCCTGCAGCTTACAACGCTACGAGTAGTATGTATTACTAACAAACGTTGGCACACAACACACACAGATGTAGGGGTAGTGGCTCAAAGGAAGGTGGATTCAGAAGTGAGCTTAGCTCTAGAACCTCCATAATTATCATCGCCAACGACATGCATACATGTAAGTAGTGCAACCTTAGCTGCACTGATTGAAGTTTGTCATATCTCTCAATATATGCAACCTTCAAGTAGTGTGTGTAGGATCAAAACAAGGTAGCTATTGGCCCTCGACACACTGAGGTTGTCGAGGGATGTGAAGCCTGGAGCTCTTCCAGCTTCAATCACATATATATAGCTTTAACTATGTAACTTCAATCCTTGTCTGCCTATGGCTAACAATTACATGACGACGTCGTTGTATCGGTTGATAAGGCAAGTCCTGGTCGTTGTGTGGCTGAACACGAGAGTCTCGTTGGTTGAGTTTTACACCAAATACTCTCATAAGTTCTTTTGCACCAATCATTCATTACTACTACTGCGCACTAATCGTTAAGTATCAAGCGTACGAGACACAGTTGTGTTGTTGACGTGGTGTCAATATGGGATGCGGGTCACTCGCTTTCAAGTTAACGTCCCTTTGAGAATTTGGCGAATCAAATCGCTACATTGAGGTGTCGATGGATGAATTGGCACTGCCAATGTCCTCATTTTGATTGAAAACATCCAACTTGTGCTCAGTGCTGCAGTTATGACCGTCTCTGCCCCTTGTGTTGCAGTGTCGACATTGTCCAGCACAGACAAGTACAATATACCCACTGTAGCCAAGGTTGACTTCGACAACATGCTGGGGATCCCGCAGTACGAACAATGGTTCTCGGCCAATTTGCGATGTGGTCATGCCACGTTCACCAAGTTCATCACTAACCTGCGTGCCGAGATGAGTTCGGAGCACTTGCGCTCATATACCCATTCGTTCGAGAAGAAAGTGCACAACTTTTTGTACTTCTTGGGTTCCGAGGGTGGCTACAGAGAAACCGCTGCAGCATTTGGAGTGTCGAAGTCATGGTGTGTCGACATTGTCCATTGGTTGTCCACGGTGATGTTGAAGCTAGCTTCGAAGTGGATCTATTTGCCGAAGTCGAAAGCAGGGTGGTTCAACGTGGAGTCTGGGTTTAAGACAAAGCACCAAATCCCCAGCGTTGTTGGCACTATCGACGGGACCTTAGTTGACATCCAGCGTCCCAAGGACTACGACGGTATTTACAACCGTAATGGAGACCCATCCCTCAATATCCGAGCAGTTGTCGACTCGTCTACGCGATTTATGTCTGTGGACATTCGACCAGCATCATTTTCCGACAAAAATATTTGGAAAGTGTCCGCGCTGGGTCGCACCATTCGATGTTGTGTGCCGACGCGCTGCTGTCTCATTGGAGAGCACGGTACACACTCTTTCCGTGGCTAATCACCCCGTACTTGCCCCATGAGGAAGGCGGCCGGGTAACAAATCGTCAGAAACGATTCAACTACAAGCACTCGAGCACTCGAATAGCAGTTGAATGTACGTTTGGTTATCTGAAGGGGCAGTTTCGCATTTTGAAAAATGTGATTTTGTGCTGCACAATATGTTCCTTTAACGATGGATATTTTTGGTTGCATGTAACCGTCGCGACCGTAACCATTATTTTCAACCAAGTGAATATACTGAAGTGGGGTCGAACAAGTTACTGCGCGCAACAGTAATGCGAAAACGCAATGCCATATCCAAAATCATTGATTAATAGTTAATAAATAACTATTTGTTCAAAATATGTTCGAGTAGCTAGGTAATTGCGTTGCATTGTTCCGTAACGGCAGCAGATTGTTCCTTAATGGCTGCATATTGGACAGTTTGAGCATCCACAACATCGGTAAGAGTAGCTCCTACTACCTCCGTTGGTTGCAGCACTGTGTCCATTACACTGATGCATGACTTGTTCCAACGACACGAGGCCATCCTTGACGGTGACAAGTCCAGCCTCAAGTAAAGCAACGATTCATGTCGACGCTCAGCTCTGATGCAAGCAATTCGTACGCCTCCCGTTTCTGGCTGTTGTTTTTGGAATCAAGGCGGCCAGCCAAGTCAGACTTGTAGCGAAGTCTGAACAGGCGAGCAACACTATCGTTGCACCACCAAGTAGTCGATTTGGATTCCCTTTTCGTCGATGTGGGCTGCTTGACCCGGCCTGCGATCCCACTTGGGGGCTGCTTCCGTTTCTTTCTCGGTGTGGTATCTACGTGCATATGTGTGGATAATGTAGTACTGCTATGAACATACCTTCAATGACAGGTTGGGTCAGTGCAATATGTTCTTCATCGGCGTCCATGGCCAGGCGACTGAGTCCGGTGTCAACACAATGTTTCGAAGTGTGTGACACGCCTTGTCAGTCCTTATAAACTAAATGCGATTGGTTAACGTTAATTTAATTGTAGCCAATTATATTTGAGGTAAAACTAAATGTCCCACTGAATTTGTTGTCAAGGCGTCGAGAAGCATGGAGTCGACGTTCCCTGACCCGGCCCTTACGCGGAGGAGATACTCTTAGCGTGAAAGGGGTGAACTAGTTACCGGTATGTCCCCATTCAACATCACCAAAGTCAATAATGGGTGATTATAACCAAGCAAATGAGCGTGTACAACTTGATTGGTTAAAATGTACTTCGCCGAAAATGCTTGCTACAAATTCCGATCACAATAGAGTACTCTACGTCACATACAGTACCCATAATCAGTACTAAGGCAAAATCATACTATAATAGTACAGTACTTCGTACATGTATTTTGCCTTATCGTACTACGTAGTACTAATAGCACTAACAGTTATTAATATTAATACTAGTACTACGTGTAGTTCAAAGAAAACGATGACATGTGCCTTACCCCGGTGCGGTGTCACTGACACAAAGGAAACAATATTTCCGAGCGAAAGCGTGAGTTCAGCAAGTGGATGAGCCGGGTTCGCCAATCTGTGAACCACCTTGTTGCTGTCGCCGCCGAAATGGCACTAGTAAAGATAAGCCCCCGGTCCCAATTATAATAAACACCGGTTCCAAGTGTAACAAATTCAAGTAATAGTGTCTCCGTACTTATTCCGGATAAGTACACATACATCCGGATAAAAGGCACTTTGACCGCCAAAAACTCCCACCAAAATGTACTCAAGTCAGGTTTTGCCCCCATTTTCAAATTTGCCGCGATGGAGGAAACCCAGCGCACCGCACAGTACGACATGTCAAACGCCACGCAGTTCAAGTGCAGCACCGTCATGGCCGCCACATGTGACGAAGCTGCTTGCACTGCGTGGTGTATGCAGGTCGGGCTTCTCAAGTCAAAGATGCTGTGTCCGTCGTGCGCGAAAGACATGACCTTGAGCGGGACAAGGTGGCGATGCCGTCGTGCTGGCTGTGGTTCCATCGAGCGCAGCATGAAGGTTGGATCGTTCGAAGAACGATCCAAACTTCCATTGTCCAAGGCGGTGCGGCTAATGTATGCATGGGCCTCGCGAAAGCCGGTTACGGTCGCCGCCCGCGAGACGTAAGTCTCAAAAGTTGCCGCGATTGACATGTTCAATTTTTGTCCAGACATTTTCTCTAACGAGATGTTGTCCAGCGCTATGATGGTATGTCGAATTAGATAGTATTCATTTATGTAATTAATATATCCGAGGTTGTTGAATTATTATATATGTACTTCTACAATTAACACGTCCAAGGGTGTCGAATCATATAATGCTTATGTATGTTATTGATATATAGAATTATTTAATACTAATTCCTGTAATTGATATATTCAAGGTGGTTGAATTATGTAATGTGTATTTCTGTAGTTAATGTATCCAAGGTTGTCGATTTATATGATATTGTGCTTTTCATCGTTTTGGCTATTCACACCATAAACCTGGGTGTTTGTTACATCGACCCCAGTGTTTTAGATAATCCGTATCGTGATTTAGGATCACGTTTCGTTACAGAATGTAATTATAGGGAGGTCATTTATGCAACTCCCTCGCTTTTGCACATTTGAAAAGTGCAAATCGAAGGTATATCTGCTATTCTCGGGACCAAATTGCACAATTCACTGGTCACCATAAACAACTTTTGATATTACAAATGTCACACAGCGAGGACAAGCGCCGGAGTTCTACCGTATAGCGATGTACGTATGGTGCCACATCGTAGAAAACCACGCTATCTTCTTGTTCCATCGCATGGTACATGGAGGTAGCGTGTACTACGCGATGGAATTAATAACCAAGGTGTTTTGGTCACTTCAGGATCACATGTGATTATTATTGCTCAGAGTTATTTGGCATTTATAAAACCCCAGTGAATTAGCTAAAACACCAGGTATTTATTCAACTTTGTAACACAGTTACAGCAGAAGTACCACTTTTTTAGACACGTAAAACCGACGCCAAAACAAGTGCAAAGCATAATATATATTTCTGTAATTAATACATCCAAGGTTGTCGAATTATATGATATTTATTTCTATATTTATTTCTGTAATTAATGTGTGCAAGGTTGTAAAGTTTAATGATATTTATTTCTGTAATTAATATATCCAAGGTTGGCGGTGTAGGCTCGGTCGTTGAAATCGACGAGACATCACTCAAAAAAATCCAAATACAACCGCTGAGCCCAGCACCCCGATGTTTGGTTGTTCGGCGGCGTGAACAGAACAACGGGCAAGTGGTTCGGTCGCCTCACGTTCCACGACCGTACGAAGCCAAATTTGTCTGCCATGATCGGGCAGCATATCCGACCAGGTACTCTGATCATGTCAGACAAATTTGTGTGGGAAGTTCGCGTCAAGCGCTTTCTGAACACAATGCGTGGAATTCGAAAGAAGTACCTACCCGCCTATCTGGACGAATTTATGTGGCGCACTTGGTTTTTCCCACCGCAAGCGAACGAAAAGATGTTTTTCACCGGCTTAGTTCACGGTATTGGAAAAAGGATAATTAATAATACTAAGTACTTTTGGGCTTTGACTTTTTGGTTGCAACACTATTACTTGAATTTGTTACGCTTGGAACCGGTGTTTATTATAATTGGGACCGCGGGCTTATCTTTACTAGTGCCGCCGACATCACCAGCGACATCGCATACTTGCTTTCGTTTGCCCAAGGACATCATTGCTTCGTCGCGGACCTTGCTACCCAAATTTTCATTGTGCTCGTTGGCATTTTTCGTCAGACAACACGCTTCGCCTCTCATCCTTCGCGTTGTCGAATACAGAAAGAAGGCGTTCAGCAGAAGGATCTTCTCCGAAACTTCCTCGGAGACCCCCGATGCTCGTTCAGCCTCGTTGTTGTGCTTGCGGTGGCCGTCAACAAGGGCATTGAAGCCGTTGTTCGCCTTCTTGGTGTCGAGGTCGGTGCGTGTGAACTCGTCCGCCGCGACAAGGGCCCACGCGACAGTCGCCCACTTGTCCATGATGAGGCCATGGCGCGCCAAAAACGGCAGTTCGAGAGAGACTTGGCGCAGGAGCATCAGGTCCTCCTCGTCAGAGTTGTTGCGTCACTTCAATGGTGTGGCCATGGTTGGCGTCGACGTTGGGTCCACGAGTCGTTTGGAAATGTACAGAATGGAATTGATTCCATACAATTGGTCAATTATGGGGATTCAGCATTATGTTTGTTATGTTTGAGAGGTAGACTTTGGTTTTGTCACCATATGTCGGAGCGCCGCTATGGATGCGGAATGGAACGAGTTGCTAAACCTCTCTATTGAGTCATTAAGGAGATTTCGCAATCGTCGGTTATTTGTTCGCAACGACAGATATTTTATGATTTCGCAACAGCATATTTCCATCAAAATATACGAATATATTATCCGGATATTGGATCAGCATGGGCACACGTCCAAATGATCGAGACAGCGCTGGTGGTGTCAATCGTGCGGGGGCTACTTAAAACAAAGCCACGTCAACAGCACCATCGACTGTTGTTCATACTACTGTGGAAGTTGTTACAACGTCCCATTGTCCCCGACGTTCATTTTCGCCAGGACACGTTGCGCAACAGCCCTCTCTCCGTCGAACGAGCCCTGTGATGAACCGTCTGTAGCTGCATCTAGCCTCTGCACCAGTTCGTTTAACAAGCTATCGGGAACCACTATACTATGCTCTTTAGTCGATATTCACTTTGTGATGCACAATACAACAGGCTAATACATAGTAGTCGACATGGCGCGAACCAAGCATACAATAGCGTCTCTCAGCGTGGCATAACTCGTCCGTAGTCATAGAAACTTCCTCAGCAAGTATAACCCAACTTCGCCTACCGCAGCACTCTTTCGAGTCGAACCACCTAGCTTCTCATTTGTTGTAAAGCGGAAACGCTGACGTCACCGGTGTCCGATCATTGGCGGTGCTGCTCCGCTTACCAGGCGTTGTGGTCACGCCAAGCCGAGACCGTTGTCATGCTGTGCAGGCCTTGTGTACTGTACTGCGCCGCCTCGCATACCATACCATTTCTTCGTCTTGGTGTCCTGCTCGACACTCATGTTTGTGATTGTCGAGCACGTCACCAAGCGCTTTGAAAGTTTACACATGTAGATGCATTGCTAGTGGTTTTTTGAAGGACAGACTATCGTTCAGCCAGCCATTTTGCGGAAATATGCATCAATTGTAGACAGGTTTTGTCGTTCCGGAATTTGATGATAGAGGTTTTTTTCGCCTAAGCGGAAAGAGAACGATATCGTTCATTGCGAAATCTGCTGCATGTCCAGTGCCAGTATGTTTCAATTACTACACCGTTTAAGTTCAGGTTATTTCCGGTATATTTCGTCCGACGCACAACTGATTCACGCCTTGTGCGTTGCCGAACATTCGATATATTTCTTCCAGACCCTACTTCGTTGCATTATATTTCGACTACAGTCCAGTATATGTCACCCCACAACCGGTATATTTGATGCTGCAGACTTTGAATAAAGTTAAAAAAACCTAAGTTCAAGACATTGAAGTCAGGACTGTTGGGAGGTTGGTTTTCTACTCTAATTTTCTCTACTCCCTTTTGGCCTAACAGCTCGGTTGTCACCCAGCGGTGAGGGCTCGCGTAGTCTTCTTGTATGACGACACCACGCGACAGGGCACGGGGTGGGAATCGTTCCAAAATGGCTGGGACAACCTTGTCGATGGTGGCCTTCTTGTAGACTTCGCCATCCACAACTTGTGGGACGACGACGGGGGTCCCTTTCGCGCGATTTTTGCTGTTTCACTTGGCAGGCTGGACAACGACGAAATGCCACACGCCAACCTTACCGTCGAAATACGCCTTCTTCGTGTGGTCGAATCGAGGCTGGACCAACGCGGCCAAGAACATCACTTTGGTGATGAACTGCTTGGACTTCGCCGCACGCAAGGCCATTTCTTCATCGTCGTAGACATAGAACTTTCGCTTGACTTTTGTCAAGTAGAACCACTTCTCATCTACATGAATATACTCGTTCATGTCGACGAAAGCATGGTTTCCACTTGGCAAAAGTCGAACAAAAGACTTGGCAAAGTCGAGGCGCGCCCTTGTGCTGTCTTCAGTAAGCATGGGCTTTATGTAGATGGCTCGGGACTTCAGCCTCTTGGTCTCTTGCATGTGACGGACGATGGACGTATTCGGAAGTCCTCTGTGTGCCGCAAGAGAACGGAGGGTTTGACGCTGATGATGTGGCACACTCTTGATTGCGCCTTCGAAATCAGCAGCCAAACGTGACTTTTTTCGACCCGAATTGCCTAAAGTCGTTTTCCTGTTATTATCAATAAATTGTATAATTTAATGATTTGAATGTGAAATATAATGAATTGGAGATTTACCCTCGAGTTTCGAGGCGACATCGGCACGCGGTGACCCGTTGGAGAACGAGTGTCGTCCACGCTTCCGCACTCGCGATATAGTCATCCATTGGCACTTCAAGTGCGCAGCAACGTCCTTTAATGCACCGTACATAAGGCGGCCATTGGACGAGCTCTGTTAGAGCAGCTCATAGGCAGTGCATCGCTCGGCTGGCGTGAGGTGGTGAGTACCGCTTTGAGACGCCATTCGAATCGTTCTGAGGCGCAACCGTGTTTTTGGTGTTCCTTAGTGGCTCTGTGTAGAGTGCACGAAGTCTGAACGCGTCAACTTTAAGAATGAGTCCTATCCGGGTTGCTTTGTGTGTCAGATTTGTTCCCACTCACTTTGCTTGCCCACAACTATTGAGCAAATGCGATTCAGAACATGCAGAAAGTAAACAATGAAAATAGAGATCTTGCGCTTTCCATTGCATCTATCATCACGCCATTTGGACAAATACTAGAAAAAATCCGCCAATCCAAAAACAATGGGACAACTATTCCGAACCAGAGGAGTATATTTCAAATGATGTTCCAACTATTTCGATTTTCGAAGCAAATCAAGTAAATCGCAGGTGATGGATACTTGTCTAAATCATAGATATTGTGCTTTCGAGCTAAATTTGGTATTTTCGGTAGATTCGACGAACGACGTCAAATCCACCTGAAGTCGTCGAGCGTCATTTTTCTTGAACTAAATATACTCACTGTCTGTCCGATACAATGTTGAACTCTTTGTGAAATGGAGAAGCACCGGATACGCCTGAAATTTGATTTATGGAAAGATTTTTTCCGAAAATTTCATTGGCTACTTCGTTCCGTCGATTACTACTTCCTCTGTTCGGAAATACTGGCGACATTTGCAAATCTGACTTTTTCCAAGTTACTTGCGACATTTCAATCCGATTGGTCGACAAGAAGACATAAGCATGATATTGGTTAAAAACCGGAGCCTCCTCTCAGGCCAAGAGCGAAACAGGACAGGAAACGTTGGACATCAGTGCACCGGCATGACGCAAAGCGTCCTTGCGCAAATGCGGCAAGCGGAAGTAGTTGCCACCATTGTTCTCGAGGACAAGGCGCATCACCGCCTGCAAGGTAAGAAACACATTTGCGAGTGCGTCGCCACCGCTGAGCTCAAACGCAGCAAGTGTAGCATGAATGACATCATCCAACGAGCGACTCACCAACTTGTGCTGCAGGGTTTGGAGTGATGAGAAGAATCCAAGATCCAAAACGTTCAGGTCTGGACTGTTTGGCGGCTGGCTGCGAACAACAAAGGTCCAACCGTCCGTCGACACGGTCACAAGGTCTTCGTTGGTAATACCGCCATGGGGAGTCGCATTGTCGTGCTGGAGTACAACGCGCTTGTTCGAGGTAGGAAATTGCGCCTTGATCGCGGGAACGACTCGTGTGAGGACATAGTTACGGTACACTGTAGCGTCGACGTACACCAACGTTGCGACGATGGTCCCCGCCGGCCGATTGCGGGAGTTTCGTTGGGCTGGACGGTACTCAACAATGGGCCACATGCCAATCTTTCCGTCAAAGTAGGTCCCACGCTCAGCGTCATATCGAGGACGCGCGACGGCGGCAAGGAACATGACCTTCGGGATAAACTTCTTGCTTCTCCAGGCACGTTGCTCCGGCTCTTCACCCTCCGTCAGGTACACCTTGCGCACATTCGAGTCAGCATTGAACCACTTCTCGTCAAGGTGTACGACATCCCACATGTCATCGAAGACAGCTTCTCCGGGAGAACCGGCTTCGCCGGCGCCGCTTGCGGCGGATCGCGAGCCGAGAGGACCGGAGGGACGAACGTGCGAACGGCAAAATGCAAGGCGCTGTGCGTTGTGGTCATCGGTGAGAAGCGGCTTGATCCGTGTCGAACGGCGTCCAAGTGTTCCTGCCTTGAGGTGCCGGTGGAGTGTCGACAGCGGTATACCCGTGGCCTCGGAGATTTCGCGCATGGTGGTGCACAGTGACTGTGGCAACTCGCGGACCATCGCTACAACGACGCCAGGCGTGTAGATGGACGTGCGGCCGACACGGCCGGCCTTGTGTGATGGCGCCAAGGCGTCACGATGGAAGTCCTTCCAGACGCGCGCTACCGTGGTTCGGTGAATGCTCAATTCGGCGGCGGTTGTCTTGATTGCTCCATGCGCGAGCTTTCCTCTGGTCGACCGCTCGTAGAGCCGACGGATTACCTCCATCTTCTTGGCGTAGGAGAGCTCTCGGCCGATAGGTTGTCGGACCATGATGTCGACGTGCTCAGGTCCCCGAAATTTTAATTGTGAAACACGCGATTTTGAATTTTTATTTAGATGACGGATGGCGAAGTCAAATTTGAGCGCCAAAACTTGCTCTTCCCGCTTTGCAGTCAATGGAGCTTTCCTTTAGATTTTGATTCTCCGTCGAACGTGATATGATTCATCGAATTTGGAAAAGTATTCAATTTTTGGGGTGGCCAAGAAGTCAAATGTCGGCACTAATATCGAACAGAGGAAGTACGTCGATTTATCGAAATAGGTGGAACATCATTTGAAGTACCGTATAGTGTATATATATTGTGACGGATTAATCTATTGCGACTCCTGTAATAACTGATAATTTTCTTGTAATAACTGATATTTACTTGTGACAATGTTGAAATATACTTCAAATTTGTATGACGCAATGGATTAACAAGATTTTGAGAACGAGTGTCGGGCGGTTGTGAAATATCACCTGTCGCAATACATATACGCTATACGGTATATTGCACAATGTGTGAAATATACCGGCTGTGGGGTGACATATACTGGACATTAGTCGAAATATACTGCAACCATGTAGGGTCTGGACGAGATATATTGAATGGTTGGCGGACATAACGCACATATCGTGAATCAGTTGTGCGTCGGACGAAATATACTGGAAATAACCTGAACTTAAACGAAAAATGATGTTGTAGTACAGTACACAAGAGTGGTGTACTGTGCATGGTGGCATCCTATCAAATCCAGTCCAAATAAAACACTGTAAGGTACTACCTAGTCCATCGTTTTGTGCTCCCGCAACACCAGCGGCATCATCAAATATAACATTATCACTAACGTAGAAAACCAATTTAAGGTGCTCGAACCATTTAATGGTGCACTTGAATCAGCCAATCAAATGTAGTAAAAATACTGGAAAAAATATAACCTCCTTAATCTAATTTATACACCAAGTGAATTTTGGCGCCTGTCATGCCCGACCGCGACCGCGATCGCGATATACACGCGTTGAGCTTGACAGAGCTGTTCAAGATGTGCTTGCTGGGCGAAACGGGAAGCCAGTGGCAGCGTTCTCCAAGATACCCTACAACACCCTCATGAAGTATGTGCACGCGACAAAGGCCGGCACCACCACGACACCAAAGCGCCGCGGGCCACGCCCTACCATGCCGAGGAGATTGTGAATGACGGTAAAGTTACAAATACTTTCATTGTACACGTATGTATATATTTCTCACGAACCTTATTACAGTGGTTGCCGGTAAAACCCGGCCAGTGCAACTTTTGCCCATGACTTGAAAATACTATGTTCAGTGGTATGGCGCACAATCAAAATATAATGAAAATCACTTCGTGCAACTCCGTGAAGACCACATGTATTGGCTAAAACTTAAGTCAGTGAGTCCGGATAATTTGCGTCGCACGCGTCGCAATACCGGATAACACTCGTCGCAAAAGAAACAAATATTCGAGTGTCCGCAACAATCTCACACAATACATGACCATCAAATTGTTATGAATTAAATCTCAAGTACTGATGGGATCGCTTTATCAAAGGCTTTCACAATCGTGTCTGTCGAAATACGATCCCAGACCTTAATCGTCCGTTTCACTGTGGCCAAACGCTTCTCTTGTGCCGTCAAGATGTCGCCGTTGCGTTCGTCGTCTTCTAGCAACCACGCTGTCTTCAGCATGGCCTTCAAAGGACCCATCACGCCGACATCAAGCGGCTGACACCGGCTGGTCGAGTTGGGTGGCAGTGGCTCCAGAACACTGAACATCGTCTCCGCCACCTTGTCGTACGACTTGTCAGACACATGACATGCTAGATTGTCGACAAGAAGAACGGACGAGTCCTCCACGTGCGCTGCCAGCAACTCATCGAGGTAAATGTCCCAAACACGGTCGTCCATCCACGCGCTCTCCTGGACCGCATAGACGTGTCCAGGAGGGTACGTCGGCAGCTCGCTCGTGTCGATTGTGCCACCTGGCTTGCCCTTGACGATGAAAAGGATAGGTAGCTTGACACCTAAACACTCATGACACAAATCATATTCAGGAAATGTCATACCGTCCGCTCGAATCGTCATCACCGCTGTCAATCGCTCGGAATGCTTGGTGGTCTTCTTGCATTTGCTGGACTTACCAATTTCGGCCAACGTCATTCCAGGGGGCATGTCAAAGTAGACGCCCGTCTCGTTGACGTTTAGAATTTGGCTGCGAGGGTAGTGACCATACGTCGACCAAAAGTGGAAGGCGTTGCCCATCCAAACGTCGTCCAGGACCTTTTGGCCGACCTTGCTGGCACAGGGGACACGGTGGCAGAAGCGGTGTCGGTCGGCAAAGCGATGCATGAGACTTCGGAACGACTGATGCGCCACCGCTTCGTTCTTCTTGGACGCCAGGTACTCCACGAGCCACTCTTTGTTATTCGTATTCACCCAGCGCATGAGATGAAACACCCGTAGGTGCTCTTCGGAGTCACGTTTGGCTCGCATGTAGGCCA